ATATTCATAAAATACCAAAAAAAAGTTAAAGGTAAGTATTTAAAATGGCTCTCATTGTGTCCCATAACCCTGGACCCTCTAACCAAAAGGAAAAATGATGGGTTAGAGAGGACTGATACTATGCTACCCAAAATACCAGGCTCAGAACATTTTTCCATGAGTGTCTTCAGATATTAACATAAAATGCACCATAAATAAATATAAATTTGAATTCCATCTCATGACGGAATTATTTCTAGAAGCACTCTTAAAACCTCTGGACTTTAGGGCTTATCTTCGTTAAGACACTGGAACAATGACTAAAGGACATTGTAGAGAAACAGGCTGCATATTCCTTCTCTTTTGTGCTTTCTTAATATTTTAGTTAAATCACTTAATCTTACTAAAGAGCTACACAAACAGAACAGGAGGACAGAAACATAAGGATGGCCCACGTCTATTAAAAGAAGACAAAGCCCTTCTAACCCATGTCTTTTTTTTAGCATTTATGCTCTGCCTCCCACTGCCTTAAGAGAAGTTTTGATCAATCTTTTCCTCAACAGCGCAATAAAATAAAAAATACAAAGTTAATGCTGAAATTAAAATACGCCTGAAAACTTCAGCTTTGAAGATGCGGAATACATACTTTCCTGGCTTCTTCCCCATAGGTATGATTAAAAATCCTGCATGTTGTATACAGACATGCATAAGACGGCTCTGAAGGGTGAAGAGAGGAGGCATATGGTGTGGGATCCTGAGGTCTTAGGAAAGATACAATGGCTAGTGCCCTGTGTTTTCTTTTACCCCATAGATCCCAGCCTTGGATCTGGAAAGAATATAAGTGGCAGTGGTGGGAGTGGGGGGCAGAGAGAGAGATTTCTCTCAACTCATCACAAAGGGACAGTGATGAGAGGGCCATTTCTGGTCCTCTTCCTATTAGCCTTTATGTCTCTTGTTATGATTTAGATCTGGAATTTCTCCCCGAATCCTCCTGTTTTCAGAGGCAGGGGTTTTGGAAGGAGATTGGATTATGAGGTGCTGTATTCATTAGTGATCCATCCACCACGATGAGCCCAACAGCTCATGGTGCTGTTAGGAGGTAGCATCTGGTCAGAAGACGTGGGCAGTGAGAGTGTGATGTGGAAGGCTTCTTCTCCCTCTCAGGCTTCTCCTCTCTGTCCGTTTCCTGGCCACCATCATGTGAGCAGCCTTCCTCTACCCCGGCTTTCACTTTGCCATTTCTGCCTTGGAGCCAGACCACCATGATGGTAACCACAAGCCTAAAACAATCCCTTCTCCTTTACATTGTGGGTATTGGGTACTGTGTCTCAGCAGCAAGGAAAGTGACCAAGGCACCTATTTTTAGCAAAAATGTGAAAGCAAATGACTTTGCCTTTATTTAGCAATACAGGATGATTGTCAAGTTAGTACCTCAGAGGAAGCCTAGACTTAATCTTTATACTGGCTGGTGTTCGCCAAAGGCTTAGTGGGAAAACTCCAGTTTATGGAGGACTGTCTCTCAGCCTTTTCCTCTGGATGCTCTTTGAGTCAATTAACACCAGAAGAAGGCAGCATTATTGGTCTTTGTTACATTGCTCTCTGTCTCACTGTTACAAATAGCTTTGCTTGAATTATTCTTGGACTTTATGATTTCCTTCTTAGAAGACATTCTGATCTACAGACTGTGCCTATTATGATGTAATTATACACATTATTCAAGATTTTCTTTATGAACATATCCTGGGCAATTTTCTTTCTGGTTGTATGAATATATTAGAAAGCACTGAACTCCCAGAGACCTGGCTGGTTTTAGTCACACAAACATTGTCGATCATGAAGTAATCTTAACTTCCTTTTTGGGTTTACTACTAGAAAATTCCAAATGTAGGCAGAGGTCTACTGGAAATACATCTGTAGCCTTCTGTGGTATACATTTTGTAGATTTCACAAATGAAATGCCTGTTCTGGCCTCACTATCCATTTTATTTCCTATTTAAGTAATCATGATATAGTTTATAAAGTTTTTATAACCATCTTAAATTTTCTTTCAACCCAGGATACATAATATATTAGTTGTGAACTTATACATAATGTAAGTTTTCCATATTTATACAACCACAAGGAACAACTTTTTAATGTCTTTATGAAATATCCTTATTACCAGGGATTAATGCACTTACATGTTACAGGAATACAAATTTCAAAAGAAATAAAAAGAACTAGGTACTGAGATAAAGTAAGAAAGGAGTAGAAGCTGCGACTGAAACTTGCATGCCCCAAATGCTGCACCTGGGCATGCTACACCTTACCCATGCATTAGCAATGTGAATCACTCCACACAGATTTCCCACTTGAGAGAGAAGATAGTGAGATTGTGCTTCTTTGAAGCTATGAAAAACTACAGTATTACTAATCTACAGGGACTCAAAGATTGCCTGAGTCTAGGATCAAATGTTGCTTTGGACTTCTGGTGAGTAAGGAAGCCACGGAGTGTGAGTTCCCAGAGAATCACAATCATAAGCATAGAAAAAAATCAAGATTTCATCATCCCTCAGCCAAACCAAGATAAAAAGTCAACATATATGTAGGTGTAACTCCATTCACATTTCACATTCACATTTCCACAGAAGCTCAGGCATTATCTTTCTTGTCCATCAAAATCCTCTCCATTGTTACTTCCAGTGATAGCACCAAAGGAGTAGCATGAAAGTGCCCCTCCAAGCACCACAGTTAAATGCATAGTTTAAGAATAATGTATTTTGACCTGAATCCTAGGCTTCAAGACAAAAGTTTTCCCTTCTCTGAGGAGTTTGCCATACCCAAGCAACTCCCACCTAAATGGAGGAACTGACACTGCTTATTTTTACAACTCCCAAAAGTGTCTTCCCCAAAATTTAAATCTAAAATGGAACTGTGCGTGTCTATGATGCAGCAGGGCAGAGGGACAAGGTGGGAAATGGTTCACACAAGGGAGTGGGGGAACCTTCTGAGAGGCCTTCAGAGGTCTCCAGAAATGCAAGAAAGAAGTCAAAATCCTCCGTAGAGGAAGGAGCAGGCCTCACTATGTGTGAAGAGGCTGGAGCCAAACTCCTAGCCCTACAACTTCTGAGAGGCCAAGTATCTTAGCCAATTAGAAGCTCAGTTCCCTCCTTGAAAGATCAGTGGAAAGATTAAATTAAATAGGGTATATGGGGTTAGTCTGTGAACCGCAAAGCACTATCTATGTGCCAGTTAATAGTAACGGTAATAGAAATAAGGTCACCTGCGTTTTAAGACAGAAAATCTTTCAATTTTCTGCTTTTTCTTTGTGGTCATATCTATCTAATCTCACTCTAAGAGAAATCTTCTTTATTTGCTGTAGTTTAACCAAGTCTCTATTTCTTTAACTGAAAGAGGCTGATTCTCAAAGATTTCACTTTGTTGTCACATAGCAAAATGAATGCTTCTACACAAGCTCAGAAAAGTAAGATAAATACTTGTAATGCCTATAGTCCATGAAAATTGCATAAGCATGGATGTTCAAACACTTTTCAGGAAACACAAAACACCCACTTCCCTCAAAAACTTTCTAAGGCTTCCTTAAGAGTGTTTTGAGAATTCCTTATGAAAATGACTCATATGTAATACAACTCAAAGAATAGATTAGTTTAGGTTTTTTAATGGTTATTCTGTTGGCTCAAATACTGACAAAAATCTTTTTATTGGAAAAAAATAATTTTTTAAAGAAAAACATCCAAATTCACATTGAATGGACTCTTAATGGAAAGCACATTGTATAAACCAGTAGTACTGCCACATGAAAAAAAGGTCTCTGTATTTAAGAGGGGAAAAAGTAAGCCAACAGTGCGCTTAAAATGAAGTTATATGTATTTGTAAGTAGTTCCATGATCTAAGTAGTTCTATGATCTCTGTAGAATTCCCATTGTGCTCTACCAAGATGTACAGCACCAAATAGCTATAGTAGAAGTCTGCCTTGTGAGGTCAAGTGCATGTTCAAAGGGAAGGAGATATAGGAAAATTAATAACTTCTTGGCATCTCAGCATGTTTCAGATATGTGCATCCAAGTGCCACATTCGGCCGATTGCTGGACTTTGGCATATGTGGTCAAACATGCGCGAATTGAACCAGGTAGAAAGCACAACCTAAAAGGAGAGGGGCATGAGAAGAGACAGACAGTAAAAAAGGACAGAGAAATAGGAGTAGAAGTTAAAAAAATCAAGAAAGATGCATTACACATATTTCTAAATAAATGACAATATGAATTTGGCTCTGTGAGGCTTCTAATAGAGCCTGAATACCTGATGAGAAAATATTCCAGATCGATGAATTATGATGGTGAATAGAGTTGACTTTGAATGTAATATCTTCTCAACAGAACATACACTAAATGTGGTGAGCTTAGAATCAAAACAGAAAAGAAAAGAAAAACCATGGAACATGTCTTGTGATATGAATAATACCCTAGTAGTTTCAAAGATTTCCCTATTGAGAGGACAATGGGATAGATGGATATCCATAAATCTTGCATGCAAAGTACTACAATTACTTGCGTGAGTCAGTCCAAAAAACTAAAAATGTTTTCCATAGTATTTGCATCATTCTCTACCAAGTTAAGGAGCACAGTGGAACTATCTTAGAATTTCACTCGTGGGCTAGCCAGCTTGATGTGGACTGCAGAAGAGACCAGTTAACAAAGACAGGTGCATGAGGGGGTAAAGATGTCTCCAGCATCTGAGACCAAGAGTAAACAGGTGGTACCAAGCTTAATCACTATGGAAAGGATTAAGCCTTCCACTGGGCCCCTGGAACCCACAGTGAGCTCTGTGCCCCTGACTTCTCAGTAGAAGAGAGTGAAGAAAGGAAGGCAGGTGGCTGCTCACTTTAGGAATTCATCTTCCCTCCTGCCCTTACAGTTGCCCTACTTCCTTGAGGCTTGGCAAGCCTTCTGTTCTCTGGCCAATATGCCAGTGGAGAGCAAAATATCTGGCACTACTTTGACTTAGAAGGTAGATTTGCAAACCTTTTAGCATATGGAGCATTGGATTTGAGTTGCAGCAGCTTGTTTTCCAAAGACAGTTTTCTTTCTAGCAGTGTTCTCTTTTCCTAGGAGGAAACCAGATACAATTTTTGCTTACTCTTGCATGTGTGTGTATGTGCACATGTGTTTGGTAAAGCAGTCTTACAAAATGTTCACAAAAGATACTTCTCACAGAATTAGAAATAAAGAGTTCATTCCAAATTAGTTTCAAAATGCACACCAAGGAAGTCTGCCCGGGGAATTTTGCTACATGATTAATAAGCAAGTCAGCGATGAGTCCAGAGTAGTTGTCTTTTCTCCTCCCCTGCCTGGAGAGCTTCTTCCTCTAGCCCACTCCCAAAATAGTCTATGCAGCTCAGTGTCTCCCATACACTTCCTTGGGTCCACCCCAAATGAACAACTGTTCCGCAGTCTCATCCCTGGGCTTTCCTACCACTGCTTTTGCCTTTTGCATTTTAGGCTGACTTGTTGGTATCCAGGGACATCACTGCCCATATCTTGATAACTCTACCTGCTCTCAAAGCATCTGTCAGAATGCAATAAAATATCAAATGTATTTTTAATGAAAGATCAAGGCCACAAATGATAAAATTACTTCCTGATTAGGATCCAAGATAAACTCTGACACTGAAAAAGAGTATCTTTCAAAATTCCATAATTAAATTATTACAGTATTACCTTTTCATCCCAAAGGAAATAGATGAGTTCCTGGAAAAACAAGCGGAGATGGTTGCTTTCCTTGTATATTTGATGGCAATATACGGGAAAAATAAAGAATTTGAAGTCTAGGCTGAATGATTTTTCAGACGGAGGTTGCCAGTTTGGGGAAAATTAAAGAGATTAAAAAAAAGTAGGAATGGTGTTGGCAATATGAATGGAATGAACTGGAAGAGATGTTTTGAAAGTGTCTACAATGCTGCTTTAAAATGATTTCCTGCTGCAGCGTTTATATTGGTAATATACAAGACAGTGCTATGTAGCAGAAACATCAAATTTTGCATATGTAATAATCTGGTTTTGAAATTTTGGCCAAGACTTTAGCCTCTCTTGGGCTTATAGTTTTTTAAAAAAAATTAACTTAAACTTACAAATAAAAGCAATATGTGTAATATGATTTTAATATTACTTTGGGTCATTGATTAATAACCTGACTTAAGAATTAGTTAGCTCTTTCAGAGAATTTTTCTTGTGTTTTGCTTTATTTTGTATTAGAGCCTCCACTTTCTAAAGTTTCACACTAATTTGTAGATTCTATTTGGTAGAAAAGACAATCTCAAAAGTTATAGTTTAAATGGCTTAAAGAAAAAAAAATAAATGGCTTAAAGAATATTAACCATATTTTTAATCTAACCTCCTCACCCTATTCTATATTCCTTCCTCACATGCCTATAAATAACCAATTTCTCAAAATACTTTCTTTAACCAGATTTTACATCTCACTAAGTTTCTTCATGAGTTAATGAATTGAATAAAATATTTAACATGCACCCATTCTGTACTTATGAGTCACGGTCTTACTTTATGAACTTCCCTAAAAGGAAGGTAATATTACCTATCTCAAAATGTTAAGATAACTGGAGGTAATAAATATGAGAGGCCTACGTACTTCCTTAGCATATAGTTTTACGTCCTTATATAATAATTTGAAGCTACCAAGAACTTCATATATCATGTGTTTTGTTATTTTTTAAATTACACTAACTTCATCAAATATTTCTTATAACATTCCTGCCCTATAGAAATGTTGACAGCATAATTCTACTCATGTTCAAATTAACTCTGAGCTGTCACAGGTACACCTTGTGAGCTTATAATGATGCTTGGATTTTCAAAGAAACACATCACAGATAATATATTTTGAATTTATAAGGTTGAGGAAATGGTGTATAACAAATATTCTTCATAATGGACTTAATCGTGATTAATGGATTTTTATAACCAGAGTCCAGGGTCGAGACAATCACACAAGAAACTAACAACTCTACCCTGGGCAGTGTTCTAGCACTGGTGCCTCTTCAAACCTCTTGGACAACACAGAACAGCACACTTTCCTGGTTTGCATGTGTCCAGCCCTTGGGCAAGCTCACATTACACGGTGAGCAGCCCACTGATCCCAAAGCTCACCTGTGAGACTTCCCTCACTCTACTGATCAGAGTAGAGTGGACATCAGTTTACATCTGTCACAAACGTTAACATCTAAAGGATTTGGAAACCCAGAGTATCATTTTTATCCAGCGTTAGAGAGAAAAAGAGGCAAAATGGAAAAGGCTGTGAACTAGGAACTGAGGGATTACTGGACAGCTTCTTGTGCGTGCTGTACTCATTTATAAATTGATGATGAGGAACTAGATGGTCTCAAAAGAGCTTTTGAGCTCTAAAATTCTAATGAAGCTTAATCAATGACACTAGAAAACAAATATGATGCAACAGAATTGCACTGCTAGCGAAAGGAACATATGCCATAATAAAATGCTCTTATTAAGTGTTTTTGCTAGCTTATCGCTGTGTGTGTGGAATCCATTCTCACTGCATTCCTGATGGAAGCAGGGCAGATGGTGGAGGTTTTAAGTAATGTGTTCATTACCAGACCTCATAGCACTAATGGCTATTTACTGGAGCAGGGCCTCATTCAAGTGAGCAGCAAATGAATCCTTCTCCAGGGAGCACTCGCACCAGGACAGTACTCATCAACTTTTCCGAGGATATGCATTTTTCATTTTCACTTCCTCTTTGAAATTCTATCCTTTTCTCATTAATACAAAGTGCTCCATGTCCCCCTGATGTGCACCACCCACCCAAAAGAACTCCCTCATCGTCCGTCTTCACATTATCTCCATGAGCCAGGAAGGTGTTGTCAAGCTCTGCTCCTGAGAGTCTATTTGTTTGTTTTACAAGTATAAAATATATTTAAGTATGTCTTTAAAAGAAACACTCCTGCATATTGTCCCTCTATTCCACCCCACTCACTTCAACTTTATAGAGATGCCAATAGGCTTCACTCTAATAGTAAATGACCTACAGCACTCTGGCAAATTGCTGCATAGTTATGCTGAGCCATGGGCATTCTGCTCACCTATTCTGTCTAGAAGTTCCCGGGAGAGCCCACAGTTACTGGTCAATATCAAGGAGGGGCTAAGCTATCACTTCCCAAAATGTCTTGAACTGCTGAGTGTCATGGTGTCCACTCTAATCCCAGCACCGGGGATGCTGAGGCAGGAGGACTGCAAGTTTGAGAAAACTTAACAAGACTCTGTGTCAAAAAAATTATTTTAAAAGGATGTCTATCTTACAAAAGGCTTTGAGTTTAACTCCTGGTGCTGAGAAAAGAAAGAAAGGAAAAGAAAAACAAAGAAAGAAAGAGGAGGAGGGAGAAAAGAAAGAAAAGAGACTGCGAGTATCTGAGGCACTGAATCGTATTTTGGGGTTTGTTACCCTGCATTCAACAGGGTTTTCTGCCTTTCAAAAAAACCTTAGGAGAGTTTGGGTTTTTTAAATTTTTCTTTTTATTTGGTGCGGGGCGGGGCGGGATTGGCCTCCTGAGTACTGGAATTACAGGTGTGAGCTACCACACCTGGCCTTAGGAGAATTTAAAACAGGAGATCTGAGAAATTCTTAGAGTCCCATGCAACCCATTTTTACACACTACAATTTCTACAAATAGTGACTGTGTACAGGTCATTCACAAATAAATATCCAGGCCCCAGCTCTATGCAGAAATGGTAGGCGCTCAAATATAATGAATAAACAGTCCAACAAATAAACCCCAGAATTCTGAGATGAATTCATGTCTAGTATGAATTCCTGGGGTTGCTAGAAAATAGAAGCTATCTTCCAGTGTTCTTTTGTTAATTGTCTGGCACTGACAGGTGACACTAACCTGACCCAGTGTTACCGGATTTGAGATGCGGTGACTGTAAGTTTAAGCTTAAATTCCAAGCTGGTCAATCAAGGTGATTGGTAAAACAACCCTACCCAGGATTTTCTTCCTTTCCTAAATGCAAACGCTCTTTTTGCTACCTTAGTTCATTAAACCATCTATTACAAGGTAAAGTATTCTAACACTACCGACTGCTCCATCTAATACTGCAATTCTTCCACAAAAACAGCCTAAATATTAACTGGCATGCCTGGATAAGCCAACAGATTGAGGATATTGTAATCCAGTGAATCTGCTAAGTGACAACACCAGCCACCTATCACATTAAAAAAGATGTTGCAGTATGCTATTACTATGAGATCCTGTTGAGTTTTGGCTTACTTACTTTTTGTGACTTTCACATAAGCTTGCCATTAAGATTGCAAATTCAACTAAATTCACGATGTCATAAAATTTTATTTATTCTTGGGAAATATTTTAAAACGTATCCAAGTTTTTTGGGGGTAAGAAACTGAAATACTTTTGAAGTTATGATGCTTTGGAAGTGACATTTCCAACATGGCATCACCCTGACAGGCTCATAAAACAAGTTAAGGCTGAAAAGAGCAGAGGCAAATCTGGGAATTAAAACAATGGCTATTAGAATTAATCAGGCAAAATTTTCTAGAACCAAAAGATCTACTGACCTACTTCCAGAGATGTGAACTTCCTGTTTGTTTTGCTATCATAAGAGAACATTACTGGTTTTGTCTGAATTATAAATTCTAAAGCATACATGAGTAAAGTCATATTTACCTTTTGTACATAGTTGGAGGGAATACTACTTGAAACTTTTGAAAATTTTTCTTCTATTTTTCTTCTTCCACAAATATATCTTTTGAAAGTTTTGATATCCACAGAATGGCTATTTATTGTGTGTGTTTGTTTTACTACTAGATATTGAACCCAGGACCTTGGCACTGAGTTATAACCTCAGCACTAGTTTTATATTTTATTTTGAGACAGTAGTTCACTAAGTCCCTCAGTTGCTCAAGCTGAGCCTGGATTTGGGATCCTCCTGCCTCAGCTTCCCAGAACCTTGGCATTACCAATTTGTGTCATCACCTCCAGCTAGAATGGTTGTTCTTAATATGAACTATCTCTTTCCTGGTACAGTTGCCTGTTTTCTAAAATCCAACATAGTACTGGGTTTACAGAACTGGATATTGCACTGATTCCAATACATAAATATATTATGATTATAGGGTTCTATTTTACTATTAACTCCAAACCAGTGGACTTTGTGATCTTTTCTGTTATCTCTGTCCACATACTCACTTGGTTCCCCTTTCTAACATGCAATTGATTAGAAAGTGACAGACAATGATATGACTAAAATATTTAGAGAAATAAAATCAGTAACTATAGTACAGACCACATCAAATGCTTAATGGAAAAAGAAACCTGACATTATTGAGCACTTCCTAAGGTCAGGAATCATAAGGAATACAGTCATTTCATGTGATTTTATTTAATTTAATGTCCCACACATTGCAGTATTATTTTCTTTCATTCTAGATCTAATCCTATCAGCAATAAATCTGTTTAATTCTCCAGGTGCATACCTCTTCCATTCTCTGTACAAGATTCTCCAACTCTGTGATTTGACTGTGTTTTTCTTCAAGTTTTTCAGCAACTTGGTTCAGGTCTTCAACATGTTGTTTCAACTTCTGCTCTTGTTCAAGCTTGTTAACCTTGGTCAGAAAAAAAACAACTGTTAGACTTTTACTTTAATTAAACTATATATATGTTCTCTGCCTATAGATTAGAACAACAACCAAGCAACAACAATAAAAGAATAATTCAACCTTGTTTAGAACACTGTTTTGATTTCACTGTTGACAGTAAATTTATTCTGGTGAGTCACAATAGAAAAGAACACATAAATATTATTCCTAAAATATTTACATACAATAAAGTATATTTCCTGAAATGGTATGGAAAAGGCAGATACTAGTTTAAGAGAAGCAAATATTCTACTCTTGCTCAACAAAAATTACTTATAATGAAAAATTAAATCCTACATATTTAGTTTAAAAGTACTTTTTTAATCAGAAACTGATATAAAAGCAGAATAATTATCCCTACTGTATGCACAGCTTACTTGCTGAGCCTGTCAAATCACTTGGCCATGGCTTGTTTCACATCTCAGTTCTCTCAAAAGAGGGACTGGCCTGGCCAGGTGGGCTTGGTCGTCCAGGGGATAAGCTGTGAGCTGGTACCTGGAGTGTGTGTGCGCTGTCTTCATGCTTTCTCTTCATGTCTTCAGATTGTGTCTGGTAGTTTTCAAATAATCTCTGGGCCACGTTTCTCAGAGCTGCTGCTCCTGCTTCTCTGGAGGCTTCCAGCTAGGGAAAATGGTCACTTTGCATGTTTTGATATTTCCAGTCAACATGGTTAAAGGCCAAGCAGTGTGATGGGCAATTAAAAACAGAGTCTACGGTAGTACCATTTGTGCCCTCAGGACAATGGATGGCTGAAAGGACATCACTATTTGATAAAAGCAAAATGTAAAATAAGAAACCCTCTAGTTGTGGGGCAGTGCACACAGACAGGTTTGTCAAACTAGGGCTGTGTGTGCTTAGATGCCCTGCATGGACAGACCTCACCCTTTGGGGAGCCCCCACAGAGCCCCATCAGCCCATACACCCAAATCCTTTGATCACTGGGGTCCACAACAGTATTAATAGGCAAATCCCCCACAAATAGAAGCAGAACAAATTGAAAGTGCTACGGGAAAAAATTTTTTCAAATGAATTTTCCAAGTAAATTTTCAATTTTCATGAAGCTTCCAAAAAGTTAAACTAAGGAAATTATCCAGGATAGCCACAAAGATTTACCTACCAACATAGTTATTACTGCATATAAAATAAGCCCCAAAAAGAAAACATAAAACATTCAACAATAGATTAATTAAATACATAAGGAGACATTTTACAATGCAGGCTATGTTTAATATATACTCAATGTGGAAATGCATTTTAAAAATGTGCTGTGGTAAAGAAAAGTTAGCATAAGATCTTCCCTCTTAACAAATTTGTAAGTCCAGAGTACAGCACTGTTAAGTACAGACAGTGTCACACAGCAGATGTCTAGAATTTACTCATCTTGCATAACTGAAAGCTTCTACGAACTTTTGTAGGATTTCTTTAATAATAAAAGTACTCTCAGGCTCAAACACTGAGACTTAGTTTGTGAAGTATAAGGAATGTGAGCCCATGACTAGGTGTACGGATGAGTGTGGAGGTATGGCTGAATACACAGATCCACAAATGCTAACAACCTACTTATTAGCTCAAACACCCAAAATGTAAAATTTGAAAGTTCTCCTGACAGTCATACCTTGATTTTCAGCACTTCATTCTCTTTGTTCATTTCTAAGAGCTGTAGTTCTTTTCCTCTCATTTTTGCCGTGAGCAAACCCAAACTGCAACTAGACGGGTCCGTCTCAGAGTCAGAGCCATTCTGAACATTTCCACAGTGCTGAAATGAACAAACGTGAAAAGCAGAGCTGAACACTCCTCTCCCACACAAATTTTGACAATAATTATCACTTAGTTTTGCATAAATCAAAGAAGATTCAAGCCCCACAAATACCTTTAGAATCTCAAAAATATCAATGAGGAATTCCACATGAAGCATCTGGCTTCTATATCCATTCAAATATGAACAGATCTGTACATTCAAAGAGGTAGAACCTCATATTTTGTGCCTTTTACATTCCCTAGAGTTTCAAATATGCTGCTAAGTGTATTTTAAGAGATACATTATATTCATGAGACCAGATTTTCTATCTAAATCATAGACATAAGTATATTTTAGTTACACTGCATCATAAATTAATCAAATCAGCCCTAATAGCTATAGTACATAATATTCAATGTTCAGTGGTGCTTTTTTATAATCACTTCACATTAAATTTCCAATCAGAGATATCAGAATGAAGTGTTCTTGCTATTATAGTTCCACATAAACTCTGGCTCACTGAAACTCCACTTGGACTATCAATCTAATCTGGAATCATGGACATATGGAGATAGGAAGAAAATTAGAAAATATCTAACTTAGCCCATCAACTTTACAGGTAGAGAAAACCAACCAGAACCCGAGTTTATGTAGCAATTAAATGTGAGAGTTCATGGCACAGCCTGTGCTTTTCCTGTTCTTTCAACTTATTTTGAGGCAGATGGAAAAATTATGATACAATTACACATTCCCTGCAATTATAATAATTACTTCTATATGTTAAGTACCTAGTATAAGCCAGGTCATGTTTTCAATTAAGTTTTGTATACACTCAAAATGCTAAAAGATACTCTGCCCTTAGGTTGGGAAATTGAAAGTGAGAGTTTAATAAACTCATGGTTATACCTAAAATAGCTACCACACCAGAATTAAATCCAAGTGTGTTTAAAAGTGAAGCCTTTGTTCTTTTCACTGCAACATACAAAAAGAATATAGTACAGGTAGATAAGATCCTCCCCCACAACCCTAATGCAGTTTTGGATGTATGGCCCGGAACCTAGCGCATCTTCCACATACAGAGTAAGAATTACTTCCTTTTTTCATGTGTAAAAGAATATTTGACAGTAAGAATTTTCTCCACGGTGGATTACTGGCAGTGGTAGAGAGCTACCAAATATATAGATCAGTGCTTCTCAGACTTCAATGTGCAAAAGCATTATTGGTGATGGATCTGGTTAGAGATACAGATTCCGAACCAGGAGGTCTGGAATAGAACCCTGGAGACCACGTATCTAACCAGCTCCTGGGGATGCTGCTGCTGCTGCTGTGACAGCAGCCTACACTTGGAGGGTAGCAAGGCCTGGGAGCATTACAGCAACATTCTTCAGGGCTCGAAGGCTGATACTTTGGCACTTGTTTGGTCTGATGATCTTCTGTGTTTGATATGACAGCACAAGGTCACCTTCATTCCTAACAAGCTACTCCCACCAAGGCCACTAATTCTACTTTAGTATTTCCAGTGGTCAGCAGTCAGTGGTCAGTCCTCATTGTATATGATGCATAGGCAACATTTGAAACAGTGACTCGTCTCCCATTGTGAAACCCTTCCTCACTTGCTCTCTGTGACTCCATCTTCTCTGGCTGTTCCTCCTAATTCCCTAGCTTCTTTTCTCAGCCTCCTGTGTCGGTTCTTCTTCCCAAGACTTAAACGCTGGAAAGCTCAAGGCTTAGTCCCTAGATCATCTCTTATCTATCTACACTTGCTTGGGAATCCCCTCTAGTTTCAAAACTAAGTACCAACAGTAGTGCCCCAAATCTCTACCCTGGAGCCTGGATCTTTTAGTCCTGACCACTAACCTAATTCTAGGACCATGTGTCCAGCAGCCTAATCCGTGGAGGTCTGACATACAACTCAGGGTGCTCAAAACTTACTATTTGATCTTTCCCAGCATTCCTGAACATAACTTTCCCCCCAGTTTCAGACCACTTGATTTAAGAAAATACTTGTGGCCAGTGTGTCAGTTTCGAAGTCTGAGATGACAGAGGGATTATGTTTCTGTATCATATCCTATGTTCTGGTGTGCTCTGTAACCACGTCACATAGTGGGTAACACTGAGAAGGCATACTAGATTTGGATGGGGCATAACCTGGCGCGATCCAGATAAGATTAAGGGTAGGGTGGTACAGAGTGCTCAAACTTAGGTAGATAAGGGTGATCGTCAGTTGAGGTGGGGGAGTGTGTTTAAGTGTACTGACTGACAAAGTGCTCACTGGTGGAGGACTAAGATCTTCAGTCATGGCGCCAGTGTAAGTCCTAGGTAAGTCCGAAAGTTTATAACTTTACCTGTTATTGGGAAACATTGCTGTCAAGCCAACATCATCCCATATACTTTAGGTAAGTAAGTCTCTTTAAAATATTCAAGCAAAGCCCAGTCATTCCAATCTGATCCTAATTATTAACATCTGTGGTTAAACATTCCACACATATGGTCATTAACATCTTTAGAGATGCGAGAAATATTTTATCACTCATTGTTCAAAGAATAACAATTAGCAGAAAAGTCAGCTAAATAAAGTCTATATGGCCTTGTGCTAATTTGCTAAAAGAATACAAGCAGAAATTTTTGATACATTAATTACCTTTGCATCTAGTTTGTGATTTGTACTGGTCTGTCCTATTTCATCTTTAAACATTTGATTTCTGATCTTTTCCAGAGTAGTTCGAATCTAGAGGGAGAAAAAAATTAATCTCGCAAAAGAATTTAATATCAACTCCTTTTTTTTCTCTATACCAGCAAGTATACCTGATTTATCTAGAAAGTAATACATATATACTGGTTTCAGATTTTAAAAACTGCCATCAATCCAAATTACACTTAGGTTGATATTGTTTAGACTGTTGAAAAAAATTTTGGTCTTTATATTTCTTTCCTGGACAAACCTAAAACATGATAAATTGATATTATACTACAAAATAATTATTATATAGAAATTAGTAGCTAACACTATGTATTTAGTTCTATTTTGTATATTTAGTAATTTAGTACAAATTTACTGTTTAGTAATTACTACAAAACAATTACTGCTTAGTAATCATTATAAAATTACTATCTAGTAATTACTACAAAATAATCGCTACCTAATAATTACTACAAAATAATTGCTATTAAGTAATTACTGCAGAATAATCACTAAGAGGGGATCATACAAATGTATGCATTAAATATAAGCCCAATATCTTGATGACCTATAGAAGTGTGAGACACTCAGCATAATATAATTAGTTGATCTGAACAAGTTATGAGCTATCAGTGTCAGAATTTACCCATCTGCTCTAAGAAACAGTTAATATGATTATCTCCTCTTGTTAGCCCTCATCATCTTAGAGTCTCATATACTTCACTTTTTAATGAAGTAACACGCCTGCATGCAGACACTGGCAATAGTTACCCTGAACTGTGAAAAGGAACAAGGTAAGGAGGGAGAAACTCAGCGGGAAACATAAACATCTACTTGGGAACACAGATGAGCACTCATGAACCCACTGTGAAAGGTTATAAAACAGTAGGAACTCCAGCAGTGAATAGTGTGGGGCGAATTAAGTGCTGATAGGTGTTCCGAACCCTTCTGGCCCATGATTCAGTTTTACTGAGTGAGGAAAATCATTTCACTCTAAGTGTGGGATCGGGTTCACATCAAGAGAAATTACTATGTGTTCAAGTTTCAGCTATCAAGACTGTCCTTTGCTGAACTAAACTTTTTACTTTTCATATGTTCCATGGGGAGGAAAACAAAGCCCACCAATCCATATTAGAATTTATCCTAAAAATACATATAATGCAATACCACATACCTTTCTCACATATTCAGTTTCTTCAATAATGTGAGCCGATGTAGACTCAAACAAGGCAGAATTGTCTTCTCTCTTATCCCTTGGGGGTAATTCTGTGGTCACTGTGACTGTTGTCATTGTGAATTCTGGCTTTAGAAAAATAAAACTGCTAAGCAAAACAGACATTTTTTTTGTTATATAATTACATGGTTCACAAACTTAGAATAATCAAAATTATTGTTGGTGTCTGTACATAGTCATAAATCCAGAAATCAGTTTTACATGAAACAACATCATTGAAACAATCACGATTAAAAGATTGAAAATTAAATAATGCAAAGGAGAAAAACACAAATTTTTTCTTTTTTATTCAGTGTCATCTTACATTATAAAAACTCAAGAGTACAGGCCATGTCTTACTCAACTTTATAATTTCTGTGTTATAGGTGCTTAAGAAATATCTGTGGACCTAATAACATAATTATCATAAAACTGTCGGGAATACAGCACAGTGGTAGAGTGATTGCCTAGCATGTACAAGGCCCTGGGTTCAATTCTTAGATTAAAAAAATCTGTGTTTGTGTACGTATCTTTATGCGTAATCCATAGGCTATATACTAAGGCTATATACTATGGAACTATTTGCAATTAAATGCACACAAAATCAGGACTGAATAAACTACTGCTATGACATCTTATCTAGGATGTACTATTTAATTGAAAATACAGGGCAGAAAAGAATAGATGGTATCCTTTTGTATGAGAAAAGCAGAAATATGAATGGGAGAGGAAAATCTGTGCCTTACAGTTTGACACACAACCATATACATATTTTAAACAATTGTAAAAAAATTTAGAAGCAGTCTAGCAAAATAAACCACAATGAAACAAAAGTGTGTATATCAAGGTGGTAGTGTAATATATGAATTAGTTCAAGTGATTTAAAAGCACAAAGGCCAATAACTATATCTTGTGTACAAATTATTCTAAGAACAAAAAGAAATGCAAAACAATTTTAAACTATATTGTCAGCAACACCCTTATGGAAACATTGATATTGCTAATTTCAAATTACTGGTGTCTGTGTGTGTGTGTGTGTGTGTGTGTGTGTGTGTTTCATGTGCTTAGGTAAATACAGTAGAACAAAGCCAATAAATAGAGTTAAGGTTATTAAAACTCAAGACTTTTAATAGAACAAAAAATAATAAAATATAGAGCCAAAATGTTAGGTAAAATTCTTACAGTCTGCTCTAGAATTATTAATACAACATGATTTATTTTCCTTAAAAAACATATATTCTGCTTCTGTTTATTGAAAAATGATATCATCTAAATGATAGCAATTAACACTCCTGGTGGCCAGGTTGTGATTTTTATGTATTATATCTTCCTAAGAAGAAACTAGGGCATCTTGGCTGATTAGGTCAAGGGCAAAGAAATGTGTTAAGTTTAAGTTACCACTCACACCAGCAAGGAAATGAAGAGGCGTGACTGTGATGGATTAAAACACATCAAAAGTCCTACATCCCTGATTTTATGATGACAGGTGAAAAAAACTACCACCAACTCCCCGCATTGTCCGCCTGTAGAAACTGGTAAGGCAAAAACTCATGGAGAGACCATAACTGAACTACATTTCATGGTAACCAAATAGTGGATATGGGAAAGTTTTCTATAGCATTCCAGGTAATAAATTCAAAAGAACTGACAGAATTAAAAAAAATCTATGGTTTATAACATGTTATGAAGTAAGGTGGATCTAAACAAAAATCAACCTAAGCTAAAAGTATTAGGTGAAAGTTTAATGAGGAACATATTAACCTGAGAGACCTTATTAATTAAATTTAGCATAATTAAAAATTGTCATAAATTAAAAGTCTTAAGAATCATAGGACCAAATGCAACATATGGATATTATTTGGAACCTGTTTTAAACAAACCAATTATATAAAGATGTTCCTGAGACTGGAAACTAGCTAATGCTTATGAATCATTGCAATTTTGGAATTACGACATTCTTTCAGAGGGTCTTATCTATTAGTAATATATACTGAAAAATTTGCAAGTGAAATACATTACATTTGGAGCTTCTTGAAAATAATGGGGAGAAAAAATGGAGTTTAGAGAAAGATGAAAGAAAGTTAGTAAAATATAGGTAATTGTTTAGGTTGGATATGGGGGAGATGGAATTCATTATACCCCTCTATTTCAGTTTTGTTTCAAATATCTAGAAAAAGTACTAAAGAACCAAAAAGTCTAGTATCATAAAAAGTCCAGAGAAATAGATTTATTTAACCCATTTTAATGATGAAGAAACCAAGAATCCCACAGTGATGTTAACTTATCCACAATCACAGTAAAATAAACACAGGTAAAACTCAAACGTTGGTCTAGTTGACACCAAGTTCAGGGTGTTTCCATCCTAAGAAGGTTCACTTCCCTAGAAAGGAACAACAAAATATTTAAAACTTAACAACGACCAATTCTGCTAAAAAACACAAAGAATTTTCGCATCAGCCAACATCTTTGAAATAAGATAGCCTTTGGGGATACCACAAAGTCCTGCATTTATCCTTTAATCTTCAAAGAAATTGACAGAGCATGCCAAGAATTCTCTGTTTTATTATAAATCCCATTAGACAATAGCTATGGCTTCTGTTTATTCCTTCTAAAGTTGATCTGGCAAGTTGGCTTGTACAGAATGTGAGCACAAGGACTTCTCTCACTCCCTCCTCTGAAGTCTCTTTCAGGGATGAAGAACCAGGTCCAAAACAACACTTAGATGCTCAGAGCAAAAGAAACACCTGACAGATGACAGGTAACATGCTGGGAAACCAGAGGGAGGATGGTCAGGCCAGGGTAGGGGGTCAGCAAACCGCATCTCTTGTATAGCCTTTGAGCTAGGAGGGGTTCTTGCATTTTTGAATGGTTCAAAAAATTCAAAGGGATAGAACAGCTCATGATATATTAAAATTATATTAAATTTAAATTTAGTATCAATAAATGAATCTTTAACACAAGCATGGCCATTTATGTGCATTTGGTCCATGCTGCTTTGTCCCTACGGCCGCAGAGCTATGCAGCTACAATGGAAAGCATACTGGCTTCTCCATTGCGGGGACCCAATGCCGAGTCCTTTCCAGGAGATGGTTGCTGACACCTGAGCTAAGGAGTGGCAGGGAGTAGGAGCAAAAGACCAGTGAAAAAAGTAGAAGCAAGAGAAGCAACCGATGTAGCCTGGGGTAGATTTTCTTTCAGTTCAGTCCCCCTTGATCTACAATCTCATTTGGCTGATTTACGATCATTTTTCTTTTTCCTATGTTATGCATTTTTTACCTTAATAAGTTTGAAGAGGCATTTTATCATAGCAATGAGTCCCTCCTTAGAAAGGATCCCACTGCATTCTCCACCTTTCATGATTTCACAGTTACATTAGGCCTTAAGCCATATCCTCAGATGTACCCTTATGTGCCTTTTATTCTTAATATCAAGCATTCTGATCCTTAATCCCTCAGAAAGAATTCCCCAAAATTTTTTTCTTAAAAATCCTACCCTTTCCACTCACTGGTTAAAGAACCTATACAAAATTTTAGCTTTAAGTTACATGTTTGTAAAACATCAATGATAATGCCTACAGTTATGAAAATGAGTTCTTTTTCTTAATGTCATTATAGACGATGCTCAATGATAGCAAATAGCAATATTATTGCACCTTTTATTTTCTATTATTAATAAACACAGAAGAAAAGCAACCTGTAACAGAAGCAGTAGGTCATGTCTGTCTGGTCGAAAGGTTTTACATCCAGTTCTATCCATGTGAAATTAAATTGCCTTTTTCTCTGCGGTTCAGAACACTTTGGTGCCTGTAGTCTCTGATTTGTATAAAGAAACCCAAGGGGAACATAAGCCAGCAAAGTCCAAATTGCCATATGTCATTACCATCCTGGGGAAAATCCATGTTAGCATTTTATTTCAGCCAGAAGTAGATTAGGCAGATAAAATTTTCAAAATAAAACACGATCAGTTAATTAAAGTGAGGAAAGACTTTATTTGTTTTGCGCTAGAATGGATTGAAGGTAGCTTACAAATGGCCTCACGCCAAAGGAGTTATTTCCTAGGTGGGAACTTTATAAACAGGGCTCCTGAGAAGGAAGGAGGGGCTATACAGAGAGGGTTCTGTGCCCTTCACTCTAGCCAAAGCAGCTCTGCTTTCTCCTGTTACACCCTGAAATTTTCCTTGAGACTTCTGTGAAGAAAGAGATTCTATAGCTAAAATCAAGACAGCTCACCTGGTGTCATACCCTTGCTCTGCCACCCAGCAGCTCTCTCACCCCGGACAATATCCTTAAACTTTCTGTGCTTCAGTTTCAGGAACACTAAAATTTAGCAAGTATTAATTATTAACAATAATAGTCAACATGGGGTCATTTGTGAGTTAATATTTGTCAAGCACTTAGCACACAAAATACATAATAAATGATTTGCACATGTTTGTCAAATAAGTAAATAAAATATGAGACCATGATCCATAATTAAGGCTGACAAGCAGACTGAGTGGTTTTCCTCCCTGCAGGGAAGAGCCAGGTAATATTTTAAATAGTCTGCAGCCTGAGCCGGGCTATAAAGGAAAAATGTGCTTAGGGGGATTTTAAGACTAGAGAACCCACGGTACTAATTCTTTATTACTAAACCATCAATAATTTGTCAACATTCCCAATGATGAGGCTCATATCTAATGAACAGTTTACAATCTACAAAGCACCGCACGCATAATACTGGGACCTGTACACTGTGTGATAGAACAGTGCATCACTGGATACACAGAACAATGTAACTAAACTGACTACACTGCTTACTGACTTGAGAATAGCTGAAATATTACACAATAAACACACATTGGGCTTTGTTATGAGTTGTGTTGCCCTTCCAATGTCACGGGCTGAAGTCCTAAGCCCTAGCAGCTCAGAATATGAACGCAATTGGAAATAGGGGCATTGTAGATGCAATTAGTTAAGGAAAGATGAGGTCATACAGTTGAATCTTTACTCCAGTGAGGAGATGGGATGAGCACACAGGGAGAACGCCATGTGAAACTGAAGACAGGGCTCAGGGTCATGCTTCTACACGGCAAGGAGCACCACACACGGCCAGCAAACCGTCAGGTGCCAGCAACAAGCAAGGAACAGACTCGCCCTCATATCTTGTGGAGGGAACCAGCCCTGCAGACTTTGTGATCTCAGACTTCCAGACCCCAGAACTGGATGGTGACGATTTTCTATGTTTAAACCACTTAGTTTGAAGCGCTTGCTTACAGCAGCCCTAGGAGCCTAAATATAGGCACTGTACATAGTATAGAAACTGTAACAAAGGTATTTCCGTTCTGTTCTTAACTCTTGGCTCATCCTTCCCTACAGTAAATCTTTACAAATTTCTGCTGTGTTGGGCTCTGTGGCTACAGGGGTAAGCCAAGCACCCTGCTTCCATGCGACTCGCAGGTCAGAGGGAAGATGGGCGTGAAAGACACGCGTAAGTGTGGGAGACGGTGTCATGAGCGGCATAAAGGGAGCTGCTGTTCCGGATGGGTGATGAGGGAAGCCAACATGAGGAGGTAAGATGGGGAGAGGAAGAGCGGAACGAAAGCAGATGCGGGCCACAGGGCAGTCAGGCGTACAGGATGTCAGCAAGGAGGGAAGATAGAGCAGAGGCTGGGCTGTGCTCGGATTAGTGCTCAAAGAGCACCATAGTACGCAATATATCCTGCTATTGTCTTGTCTTTTTTATTTTAATGTTGCAAGGCTCATTTTTTACTGTTATTTAAAAGGTAACTGAAACATGCTGAGACTTGCAGTTTGCCTAAGAAGCCTTCTTCTTAGCCGCAGTAAAGCGCGTCTAGCCCTAGCTGTGTGACTCCCAAGGGCTGACGGACAGGCAGGTTCACCAGAGTCTGGGAAGCTGTCAGATGCCACGTGGTCAGGCCAGACAAGCAGCCTCAGCTCCCTTCTGTGCTGGGTGAAGAGTACCACGGGAGACACTTGGCACATCTGGCTACCCAGCCCCTGAATCTGTCTCCCAGATACTGAGTCGCTGTCTGCATGAGTCTTTCAGGAACGATCTCTCTCATTCCTCACTCCCTGTAGCTGGAGCATGGACAGCTGCACCCCCAGACTGAGCCGGCTGAGTGCCACCCCTGGAAATGTGACACTGGGGCTGCTCGTTTGACTTGGGGAAGTTGGAGGTGCTGCAAACTCAGTTATCCTTCAAGGAAGAAAAGGAGCCTGATAGAATGATGCTTTGTGACCAGCGCCAGGAGTGTCAATGGTGGTATCTGGGGGACAGTAACAATGACGGAAAGATCTTGACCGCTCTTCCTGAGGCCTGATCTTGCTGAATTAGCACACCAGGTACCCCCACTCTCCTATCTTAGTTTTACAACTTTCATAACAGTGCTGGAAGCAACTTCACATCCTTCTGGTAAATTCTTTATCTGGTTTTAGGAACCCCAAATTGTTTGGGCAGTTTCTTTGTGCTTTACCATTATTCAATCGCTCTTATGTATCACAAACTGTAAATGTCAGATATTACAGAAGTACCACCAGGTAAGGAGACTATGACGTAAGACAGTGAACATCTCCAAGCCCTTGAAGAGCATAACCATGTCCTGATATTAAGTAGCACACCTGTTCAGCAGCATACACTGCATGGCACAATGGTGACATCCAGTGTCAGCTGGATAAATCTCAGGTGACTCTGCTGCTTACCTCAGATCGATGCACGGCACACAAAAGACATCCATGTTAACACTCAATCCAAGTTCTCTTTTCAATTAATCACTTAAGATATTCCTAAGTGGATTTAATTTAATTAAGCTACATGCTACTCATTTGTATATACATTTAAATTTATGTCATAATCCTGTAGAAAATTCTTAGATATGAACTAAAAGTTATTTATTTGGGGGGAGAATTGAAGTGGTGATACAAACACAGTGTATAAATACATATTATTGATAAAGTACTGTGCCATTTAGCAACAAATTATTTTCCATATATTGTTAAAATTAAGCATTATAGCTGTGCAATATTTTTTATCTTCTGCATAATATACAATGCAACAAAGTCTCAGAGAAATGGTGTAAGTTTTGAAGGTTGTAAGTTGACCTTACCACTAAACCCAGATAGATTGACTCCAAATCTAAATGTCATTGTAATGAAATGGTCTATGTACACTAATTCAAAATCTCTGAAAAATAGCTGAATGTATTAGCCAGTGTTCATTTGGACAAAGAAGTGCAAATCATGATTCTCTTCCCACTTAGGAAAGAGAAGAAAGAAGTAACCAAAATCTATGGAATGTCCACACCATTCCAAGCAGAGTATGCTACTTACATTCATCCTCAGGTATCCCCTGAGAGGACAATATTTTATTCCCATTTTACAGATGAGGAAAACAATTCTGCAAAATTAAGCAATGACAACTAGTTATAGATGGTTAAAGAAACACAAGGCATGATTCTGGTTCTTTCCCATGCATCTGCTGGCTCATTCTGGTTTACCATCTTGCCTCCTCCTGCATTATAAATGAATTTCTAATCCTCACTTGATTCTTAAGCAAAATAGTTTCCAAAGTAAGTCACTGTAACAAGGACTTAGAGGCTGGGCTTCTGGGGTCCGATAGGTAACTGAAAGCAGGATAAAAGCTTGCCACCCCCACCTTCATTTTACTTTTGTACCTGTCTCCTTTATTACCTTAAAACTATGGGTCAGACTCTTGGTCAGCTTTGGGCATATGTTAATCCCTTATGGAGGGTCTATACAAAACCAGTAATACAAGATTTATTAGCCCTAAATTTACCTGGCTTATCTCATCACCTTTTAAGATTGTGGACACCAACATTGGATTAAGAAATTATCAGGATTTTCAGGGACATCCAATTTCCAGCTGTCACACCATCGAGCCATTGTCCTATACCTGCAATGACCTCAGATTCCAGAGAAAGCAGAGCCTCAAAGATAGCCCTGTGATGAGGTCACGCCCCCAAACCCCGGGCAGGAGCTATTGTCCTATGATGGAACTGAAGTAGCCCACACACATAGAAGCTGTCATCTCACAATGGGAACCAAATTGCACTCTCCAGCAATGATGGCTGTTCCAGGACCTCACAGGACCCGTTCTGAGATACTGATCCACCAGACCAAGACTTGACCAAGATTACCTTCACTGCCAGCCATGCAATCCTTCAACTCTAGCCCTTGTTCCCTATTTCTGGAAAACCCTAAGGTTTCTGTCAGCACCTCAAGACATTTCAAACCTCTTCACCTCTCTTCCCAGCAAGGCCATGCTGGTTAAAACTCCTTCCTAATGTTCACCTCCTTGATTAGTATTTTGAGATGACTACTAAGCCTATTTATTTATCTCTTTTGGGAGTCCAGGGGCCAGAGTTCTGCCCTTAAACTCTAGTAAGTAACAGTCAAGGAATCGCAGATACAAGAGATTCCAGATGTATCTTTCAGAAGCCTGAGAAGAGGTTGTCTCAATAGATTTATTCCATGGACAGAGGTAACTTGGCAGAAGGATTTGGATACATAGGTGCTGCCTAGAAGAATCTGTTCTACTTCCTTTCCAGCTGGACAGCCTTGGAAAACTGTTTCAACTCTCTAGGCCTCAACTTCTTCATCTGAAAAATTCAGCTGAAAAGATACACTTCCCCACAGAGTTATAAGAGGATTGAGACAATGCATTAAAGGTACTTAATGGAGTATCTGACATATAATATACATTAAATTAGTATTAAATAATTACATTTATATTCATAACTTTGGACATTTGCTTCTAGGACATCATTGGAAAATGTCAATGCTTAAACTCAGTTGTCACCTCACTACTCTTTTCTGACCCATTCAGCCAGTTATTTCTTCTGTTTTGAAGTACTCAGCTAACAAATCAACCTGAAATCCAGTTAGAATTTGTTAGTGAAGAAAATATGAAAAGAAGCAGATGTCAGTGACATATAGCATGGTCACTTATAATATTTATACAGTGCCCTTTGGTAACATTTCTTGTGTGGTTTTATAAAATATTTTAAGGACAAATAGTTCAAGAATTTATAAAATATCTATAGCTTTCTAGACTCAACTCAGAGTATTTTAGAAGCAACATAATTTTCTTCATTTTAGAAATTATTCATGGGGTGGGTGGAGTTAATATCAAGTACGGCTGAGGATGAGGAGCAGTTGGAACTTCTGTCTGTTGCTACTGTGAATGCAAAATATACAAGCACTTTGGACAACAGTTTAACAGTTTTCTAAACAGTTAAATACAAACTATACAACCCAGAAATCTCACTCCTAGGTGTCTACTCAAGTGAAATGAAAATTTATGTTCTGCAAAACCTGCACATAAATGTTCATGGTTGCCAAACGCTGGAAACCAGTTCAGATATTCATCAACAGGTGAACATCACTCAACAATAAAAAGAAATTGCTATCCTTTGAATCAAGAATGTCCCTTAAATTCCCATGAGGTAAAGTCTTGGCCATTGGTGAGGCACTTGGAGGAGGCAGACCTTAAAGTGGTGGGGCCTCATACAAAGTCTTCAGATCATTCGGGCCAACCCTTAAAAAGGTCTTTGGGACCCCAGCCTCTTCCTTTTCCTCTGGCTGTGAGGTGAGCAGCTTGCCCTGCTATGTACTTCCTCCATAATGTTCGGCCTCACCACAGGCTCCAAAGCAGCAGGCCAAGCAATCATGGGCTGCAACCTCAAAGCTCTAAGCCAAAGAAGACTTTTTCTAACTCACCTCAGGTTATTTGTTATAGTGCCAGAAAGCTGACTAACACTGAAATGAACCACTGACACACATAGTAACAGGGAAGAATCTCAAATATATCATGCTGGCTAAATACAGCCAAAATCAAAGAGCTACATATTCTATGGTTCCATCTATAATACATTCTATAAAATCAAAGGTATAGATTCTGGACACAGAACCATGACTGCTTAGAAGTGGTAGTGGGGCAAGACTGACCACAAAAGAGACCTGGTGAAGCTGTTGGTGGGTGGGGGGAAGTATCATAACTGTTCTGTGCTTTGAGGTGATTCGATGACTGTAACGATTTGCCAAAATGTGCAATTTAAAAACTAAATTTGTATATAGTACTTTTATTTTAAAAATATAAACATAAGCCAGGTGTGGTGGTGCCCATCTGTAATCCTAGCACTTGAGAGGCTGAGACAGGAGGATCTTTGTGAGTTTGAGACCAGCCTGGGCTGCAAAGTGAGCTGAAGGCCAGCCTGAACTGTGTAGTGAGACCCTGTCTCAAAAATACCAAACACACACACACACACATATATATATAAAATGTAAAGTACAATTGAGACTTCAAAACCGAAGAACCTTTAGGATTCTATGATTTTATGAGAATTAACTGGATTTGTTTTCTTCACTCTTTATTGTAGACCACAAAAACATGGACAGAAAAAGTAATGGACTCAGAACTGTTAAGAACTGGCAAGTGGAATAGTAATAGATAGACAAGTAGGTAGAACTATCAATGCTACAAGAGTCGTTGATGCAACTTGACCTCCAATGTGATGACAAAAGTAAAGAAAGTCTTTAAAACATTGTAACAAAGTTGATCACAAGCATTATTCACTAAGGCAAAATGTAGAAGGCAATATACAACAATATACAAGAAATATAAATGAATTATAAGAATATACAAGAAATATATAACAATATACAATAAATGTAAGAATATCTGCAAAAAGACTATTTTTGCCCCCAAATACCTGCTTTACCTTGCTCCTTACCCCTTACCTTCATTGCTTGACTGTGTAGCCACTGAGAAAGAGAATCGTGATGGCAGGTAAGGCAAGGGCAATCTGACTAGGGTTGGTCTCTAGTTGCCAAGGCTGATTATTTTCAGGGAAATGAGGATTTAAATGGAACTCTTGAACCTTCTCTAATCTACCTATCCCTTTCCTAATAGCCGCATAATATTTTTTCCTCCATATTTTTTCACTTGCATGTAGACTTTTGGGTCAATGACTACAAAATCTATTCATGGTATGAAACAGCCAAGGCCATCCTTTTTGTCACCATATCTGCTCACTCTTCTGTACCATGAAGATATACAGGTTATCCAGAAGCAGCATCCTTCCAAAATCCAGGTGATCACAGAAAAATACAAAGATGAGATGTAGCACTCGTCCTGGATAACACCAAGTTCATCACAGGAAATCCCACTACTTTATAGAATATGTACATTTAACATTGACATTAACATTTACAGTATCATAGAGAATCCAAATATTAAAGAAGAAGTTGAGGCCAGGGAGATAGCTCAGCGGCACAAGCACCTGCCTGGCAAGCGCAAGGTCCTGAGTTTGATTCCCAGTACCAAAAATAAGAAACAAAACAAATAAATAAGAAGTTGACTCGTGTAAGTTATTTTCCAGTTATGCTGTCATGAAAGTCAGACTGCTATATCTTACTATTTAAGTAACTGCAGAAATGCCCACCAACTAGTGAACAAAATGCGACATAGTCATCAAATGGAATGAATACTGATTACCAATACAAAGCAACTAGCTACTGATACAGGCTATAATTCTCATGAATCTCAAAGCCTATATTCAAAGTGAAATGAGCCAGATGCTAAAGGTCACATAGAGTCCATTTGCATGAAATGTCCACATAAGGCAAATCTAATGGGGCAGAAGGTAGATCAGCCCTAGTATAGGGCTGGGAATATGAGTGACTGTAAACAGACACCAGGAATTTCGAAGGAATGCTAACATGGCCTAAAATTGAACTGTAGATGGCCGCACAATTGTGTAAATTTACGAAAAATCATTGAATTACAAACCGAGGTGTATTTCATGATGTATAAACGGCACCTCCAACAGAATAGCTTAAAAGACAGCAGAACAAAAGGTAAGGATAACTTGAACAAACTGGCTTTTTTCTCCCTCTGGGGGAAGTACGTTTTTCTAGTTTAAAGGAAAAAATAATTGGATGGATAGAATTTTCTTAATTTGTTTTTGTTCATTTCCCCCTAGATCACTGGCATCCACAACTTTGCCTTTAGTTTTCATTTAATCTGCATTAAATTAGTAGTTAGCTATTCTAGGATCCTTTTAAATCTTCAGTTTTTTTCCATTTTCAATCATCATCCCAAGAAAATATGCTCTTCATTTTGCAGGGCTGCACAAACTTAGCTTACATTTGTCAGCACTGGTTAAAATTTGGATTGCAGGGGCTGGGGATTTAGCTCAGCGGCAAAGCGCCTGCCTGGCAAGCGCAAGGTCCTGAGTTCGGTTCCCGGTACCGGAGAAAAAACAAAAAAAAAAAAAAAAAAAAATTTGGATTGCAGTTGAAGTCCACTGCTAAGTACATTGTAAATAACCAAGCTAATAAACAGGCCTATTAGTAATTCACAAAATATTATCTATATTCATTTCAAAAGTCCCCAGGAGATCAAATTATTTTGTAAATAAGGAAAGGTAAGAACTTGCTTATGACATTTGCCCGGGTCCCAGGGAAGTGCAATCTGTTTTCATTATTTGGGTAAAGAGCTGAGGAGCCGCATAGGGATCTTTCCTGTCTTAGGCACAAATTCCTCGGAGATGTGGCCTTCACTCCTGAACTGAGACTGCAGGCGGGGAGAACAGCCTGGCACCAGGGCTGCTCAACAGCAGCCCCCATTGTGTGTGCCAGGCACCTGACACTCCAACCCGGCTCAGGTTTCTGGAAAAACAGTCTTCCGCAGAGCTGAATATTTAATGGCCTTAGGTAAAGCCAGAAGACAGATCACTTTTTCCGGATTGCAAATGCAAAATAATTCCTCTTTATGTTCTGAATTTTCATTAGTTTTCACACACTAAAAAAGGGGGAGAAGTTTTGATTTTTCAAAGAAAACAGCTATGATCTATAATGGGGGACAGATATGATTCTAGTTATATTCAGGAGTTGTTGCATGTTCGAATATTTGTGTTTATTTTTTTTTCTTTTCCTTTTGAAAAGAGGCTGAAAATTCACGTCTAAAAATCATCCTTGCACTTCTCTGTACTGCTGTTAGTAAGGTAATACTGCTCCTTTGCGAAGCTTCCTTGGGGCACTGTAACTCCCAGCTCTAGAGCTCCCTGCTGCCCACTTAACAGAGACACTAGGAAACTGTGAAGCAGTGGGCTGGGATTTCGCTGCACCTGCAGCTCCGGAAGTTGCGCGAATGAATGAAAGAAGGGCTAGACAGCAGCAGCCTTCGCTCTTCTTGGTTGTTACAAATTACAGTCGCAATGCAGTTAACAGGTGACAGTGTTTTTCAGGGGGGTTTACTCGAAGGACCCTGAAATTAGCTAAGAAATCACGCGGATCTTAGATAAAGGGACTGGTTAACAACCTAAACTAATCGCCAGGCTGGAAAGGGGCTGGTTCTTTTGTAAGGGAAAGGTAATGCTCTCCCTGGAGAAGAGTGTCCTACTTGGGGATCCAAACCCACAGCAGGGCTACTGGGGTGGGGGCGGACCCTTTACCAATACCCTTCTCCAGGAAATGTCCTTGGTGTGCTAAGCTCCGCTGAGACACCCGCTCCAAGGGCACCTGGACACCCTCCACCTGGCACGCGCGGAAGGGGTCGGCCGCAGGTCGCCAGGGCTCGCCTACCTGAGAGAGCGCTCACCTGCGCGGGGTCCCGGGCCGCTCCTCCGCAGGACTCTCCCGGGCCAGAGCCGGTACTGGGCGGTGCGGTTCGCCTCCGGGGCCCTCTGATTGGGCTCCGCCCTCCCGGATGGGCGAGTCAGGGCAGAGTTCGGCGCCAGGGCGACTCCGGGGAGGGGCCGCGGCTCCCGACCGGCGCACGCCCAGTGCACAGGGACCAAAAGGTGCCCCTGCAGGCGTCCTCAATAGAGACGTGCTAAAGAAGGGCGTTTGCTGCTGCGTTTCAGCGAGCTCCTGTTTGCATCCTAAGTCCATAAACTTTTGCTTCGTTTTTGTTGCTTTTAATAAACTTTTTAAGTTTTTGAATAATTTGAGACAGAACGTTTCAAAGCTTTTGTCCCCTTAAGTTCACACCCTACATAACCGGTGTACTTGTCAAAAGTACAAAATGAGCAACAGTCTATTACTATTAACTAAACTCTGCACTTTATGCAAACTTCACTGGTTTTGGGGCTAATGTGTTTCTATTCCAGGTTCCCGTTTGGGATAGTACCGCACAACGTCAGTGTCGTAACTTGCCTCGTGCAGTGCAGCTCTAAAACTTACCCGGGACAGACAGTGGAGGATGAAGAAATGAAACAGAAAACAGAAAGCTGAGGTCAGGTAGAGTGCTCTCTCCTGATGGGAGAAAAGAACTGCCCAACCTGCAGAGTGTTTATTTATACACTGGGCAGATTGGTGTCACGTGACACCCCTCTGCCTATCAGCTGCTTTGCTTGGCTTGCCTCTGGCTCTGTTTTCTGAGAGCGGGCCTTGCTTTAGCCACCACCCCTTAACCCCCACCCTCTCCCCCACACACCCCTTGTGATCTATCTCTAGCTTCAGCAGCTCCCCACAGTGCCTCCTCTGGTCTGTGACAGTTTCTTAGACTTTTCTTGACTTGGACAGTTTTGAAGACATGTGGAAAGGATTCCAGTAAAATTCTGTCAGTATCTCTCATTTGGTTTTGTCTGATGTTTTTCCCATGTGGTTATGGACTGGGGGGAAGAAGAATAGGCAAGTGCTCTCCTTGATGTTGACCTTGACGCCTTAGAATCACATCTCCCAGGTTTATGGCAAAGTCACTGTCTCCATACTGTTCTCTGGATGAAAATCACTGGTTTCAGCCCACTCTCCAGGTAGAGAAGGGACCAGACTCCCTCTCCTAGAGGAAAGAAAGTCCAGATATTATTATTTAGAATAATATTGCAAAGAAGATTTTTAAAAAATTTTTCTACCATTGGTTTATTCAATCATTTATTTATATCAGTGCAGATTTATGCATATTTATCCTGTACTTTGGGCTATAATTCAATCCAACCTCAATCATTTTGTTGCTCAGATTATTCTACTAGAAACTAATTTATGTTGATGTCTATATCCCCAGGAAAGTTCATACACTTCACAGATTTGAGTTAAAAAAATACTACCTCCTCACCCCTCTCACATTTAACAGATTTGGAAAATTGCAGCCTAAATCCGTCCATACCCAAAGACTTCTCCGAATTTTCCGGGGAATCCTACAATTAGTAATTCCTACTGCAATTTGAGGGAAAAGTTGCTTCTTTTCCCCACAGATTAATTTATGAATTACAACCCAATAGAAAAAGTGACACCTGATAATTCTTAGCTAATTTTTTGTTAACTAATCCTTGTGGTTCTATTAAATAGATGCTTGTGCTTTTACAGAGAAATTATGTTCCAGAGATGGTCATGTTTACTACTAGCTTAAACACTGAAGAAATCCAGCTGCTAAGGATCATTTGTTATTTTGCTCTGGTTTGCTTATGTTTGCTTTAGAAAGTCAGTTTTGTAAACACTGCATTTCCTCCTTCTGAGCTTGGGTCTTGCTCATATTTAGTGCTGCCCTGCTCTCTGGGACCCTTCCGTCTCTCTTTCTGCCCAGAATACTTCTTGAAGAGAGAAATCTACTTCTTCATTTGTCTTCATTGCCTAGGCTGTTCCCAGATAAATATGAACACAGAATGGATGGAACAGTGCGTAATCCACAAAGCTAAATGACTTTCTACTTTTCAATTACTTTTTGACAAAGCTAACTGAAACTAATATGAGTTAAAGGCAAACTTCTTGTGCTTGTGGGTGTGTTGTGATGTGGTGTGGTGTGTGTCTGTTCACGTGTGGTGATGGGGATTGAATCAAAGGGTGCTCTACTGCTACATCCCCAGCTCTTCTTTCTCAGACAGGATCTCACAGAGGTGTCCAGACTGGCTTCCAACTTTTGGTCTTCCTTTGTCAGCCTTCTGGCAAGAAAAGCTTTTGTATGTGTCACCAGATATATGGAATAAATGTTTGGTTTTCCCAAAAGTTCATATGTTGAAGTCCTAATTACCAATATGATGATATTTGAAAGTGGAACCTTTCGGAGGTAATTAGGTCATGGAGCCCTCATGAGTGGATTTAGTACTTTTCTAAGAGGAAAACAGATAGAAGACCTCTCTGTCATGTACAGATCCAGCAGATAAACAGCCATGTGCAAACCAGGAAGAGGGCAATCACAATGTGATATTTACATTTGTGGGCACTCAGGCCTTGAACTTCTCTGACACCAGATATATAAATAAGAATGTTTATTGCTTCATCCCGTTTAATAACAGTTTATGTCATTTTCTTATGGCAGCCAGAACAGACAATTTTGATAGTAACCCCAGTATCTTATGTTTTCTTTGTTTGCTCTGCTGGAATGGGAAGAAACTTAATAGAGTTTGAAGCACAGTGATCTAAAGTTTCTTTGTCTCTTTTGAAACTGTTCACAGCACTTATATATTATATACATTATATATAAGTTCACAGCACTTATATATTATATACATATATAAATTTATATGTATATAATGGGCCAAGCAGATTAAGGAGCTACTGAGCCTAGTTCAGCTTACCACAGGACAAGAAGGGGAGGTAAAATAGAGAAGTGGGAACAAACTTTGAGTAGTAGGCAAAAAGTCCAGAAAATATCTTTTTCATATCCATCTCTGCTTTTTTTAAAAATTTTGTTTGTTTGTTTTTTGGTACTGGGAATGGAACTCACAACCTTGTGCTTGCCAGGCAGGCACTGTTCCACTGAGCTAAATCCCCAGCCCCCATCTCTGCTAAGAAAGGAAGATAAAACATAACATTTATAGGACTGAAACTGATGGTTGTTATGAATTCATTAACAAAACACTTAGCAAATGTTTAGGAGCAATGTAGTCATCCCTATACACACACGTCTGCCTAAATAAGCATATCTTTTTATAGGACGCCACATAATAGATGCAGAAACCATGACATAACCAACAGTGACATTCAAAATATGTGACTTCTGGTTTAGCAATGGCCCTGATGGATCAGAAAAGCTGCCAGCCATAGTACACCGTGGGCGTGCCTGACTTCACATTAACCAGCTGAAAGTCAGCATTGAACTTCATTATCTAAAACTATTGCTGCCCTCTTAGCAACAGTTTCAACGCCTTTCTGAAATACTCTTTCCAAGCATCTTGCTGAATATTGTCCTGGGGACTTAGAAAGTTCTTCTTTCTGTTGGCTTTCCTTGTTGATGAGCTTAGTTCTTCTGTTGGTTATACCTGGAATAATAAATATTGCTTCCTTCAGCTCTGTGAGCTCTTCCACCGAAAGGGAAGACCTATGGAGGAAGGTCGAAGGAGGCATGAGAGTTGAGGTGTCAATTTTCTATACTTCATCTAGATATTTCTAAATTTGGAGGAGGCTGGTAAAGGCCAGAATAATAACTGTGTGAAGTCGGAATTAGACAGAGGTTGTTCGGTATAGACAAAGTCTAAATTTCAAGATTACTTGTTTTTGCACCTTTTATTCCCATGCTTTTCCTATGCTCTCATCCTTCCTTGAGTTGGTACAGACAATTTTGATAGTAACCCCAGTATCTTATGTTTTCTTTGTTTGCTCTGCTGGAATGGGAAGAAACTTAATAGAGTTTGAAGCACAGTGATCTAAAGTTTCTTTGTCTCTTTTGAAACTGTTCACAGCACTCTAACTTCTTGAATTTTTTTTGTATTTTAAGATATTCTCTGGGCTGTGAAATTTTCCATCCTATTCTTTTTTTTTTGTAATTGTAGTATATATGGGGAGTAATTATGCCTCCATACTTAAATTCCTGCTTCTGGGATTCTATTGGTGGTGGTTTGTTCTTATTTTGCCTTCTGCTTTTGAAATATTGCCTTTGTTGATGGTATGGTGAGCACTTGTTATCAAAACAAAAATTTTTGAAAAAGCAAACAAATGTCCTTGGGTCAAGTAACGTAGGGGTCAGTATTGGGGCTAAATTTTCGATAAATGAGATGCAGAATTCACTGGGGTCTGAATGGAGCAAGCCTGCAGTGGCCGAGGATCTAGAGGCAGTCTTGGCAGAGGGAGATTTTGACTGCAGTGAGAGCGTGGGCACTCTTTCTGGAGAGTCTTGTGACATTAACATGGCTGGCTGCTTCCTTTCTCAGCTGTGCTTCTCTGCTGATGGCTTCCAGAATCTTCCCACAATCCCATGGCTTCCTTACTCCCTGCTCTGTAAATCTCCAGTAGCTGCAAGGTATAGGGTGAAGCAACATTGAGGTTAGTGAGTTCAGGCAATGGATGTAACCTCTTCAGCCTCAGTTTCTGTATTCTGGGCTGGCACCATCCTGGCTACTTGCAACTACACACTATTGGGTTATGTTTATTCTTCTCAGTTCTGATCCTGACTGCGGAGCTCCAGTGGAACATGCTTTTTCTTCTCTAGAATGAGTTCTTTGCCCAAGGTCACTTCCTACCTCACTTAGCATGCTATAGATTGGCTGCCACTGGGATGGGTGTGCGTCACTGGGACGGGTGTGCTCAGGTCAGCCCTGACAAAGAGCACATGTGCCCTGGCTCCATCTTCAGCAGGGGCTAGCATGTAGTAAGGCTTTAGAATGGGAACCCAGGCTGGAGGGCACCATGACTAATGCTTCCAGTACAAAGAAGATAACCGACAACTGAAGTCACAGCAATGAACTTGGCCTGGGGAAGGAGCAGATGGCACACTCTGCACAACCTTCTTCCTTGGCCCAAAGAGGAC